TATTCTGAAAGGATCTAAGCTATTCTAAATAAATAGATTCATAACAAGCTAGCTAGCTTAAACAGTTAGATATTATAGTAACATTAGATTAGATCTGTATAGGTTAATGAGCAGAGTGTTTAAATAGATAACTTACAAGCAGATTATAGGTATAACAGTATAATATAAAACTAATTGGATAGCTTAACACCTGTATAGCAGACTACTTAAAATAGATAATAATTAAAGTTATATATGTAACTTGTTATATACTCTTCATATAATTACAAACAGTAGGAATTATCAATATATAACCCTATTTGCAACACTAATAAAATTTCTTCAGCAATATAAGCCACCTTTAACAATAAAAAATAAAAAATAAAAAAAAAGTTTATTTGAATTAGATTACTAAATAGCTAAAATTTTAATTTTTATTTATAAAATCTATATAGTCTTGCAAGATTATTTTCAAAATACAGACCTCATATATATAACTTTGATATCCAAAACTTCATTCAAAACAATATTGGTGAATAAATATATCAATGAATAACTAGTTATCAAAAGTATCTTTTACTTTAAGATTATACTGGTAAGTTAATATGGGTATATCAGAATTATCACTAAAACAATCTGAAGAAAATTATAACAGGTTAGTATTAAGTAAGTCTAGAAAATAAACTAGCCAGAGTAACTTTCAAAATATTAGTTACAAGATATATCTTGTGATTAACACCTTAAAGGTTATCCTGGTACCTTGGTTTAAACAAAAATATATAACAAGTACTACTAAAGAGTTGAATTTGTGCACTGTTAATTATGTCATTATTCACAAAATCATTCATGGTATTACTCACAGCATTGTTCATAGCATTATTCATAGCATCATTCACAGTATCACTCATAGTATTATTCATACTTATTGCACAATTCATAGCATTGTTTATGTTCATTACATCATTTATGTTCATGATATTGTTTGTAATATTGTCTGCAGTATCGTTCATAGTATTGTTCATAGTATCATTCGTAGTATCATTTATGGTATCATTCATGGTATTGTCCATAGCATCATTCATAGTATTATTCAGTACAATATACTATACATTAGTTACATCTTTTTTATAGACAAACACTGATTATGTACTGGTATAAGAATCAACTTTGTGAGTGCTTTTAGGTATAATATACACTGGTACTTTCATTATAAACTAAGGTTTAAAAAAGATGTATTTGGTTAAAATTTATTTAACTATAACAATAAGTTGAGTGATTAAAGTTTTCAGATGAAAAATCCTAAAGCACATAAGTGTGAACACTAATCTAGTGAAGTACTTAAAATTTAAAC